GAATTCAACTTTTAATATATTATATGGATAATATATATATATATATATATATATATATATATATATATATATATATATATATGCAAGAAATGCAAAATCATAAACATTGCGAAAGATACATATGACCATCAAGCTAACGATTACCCTGATTCTCATAGTAAACATAATCAAAGAACCGTGCTTCTTCAAGGACAAAAATACAAAGGTAACAACAGTCATAAAAAAAAAAGAGAACCTAGAGAGTATCTAAAGCAGAAATCTGATGACCAAACCCTAATCACGTAAATACTACACCAAACCAGGAGGAATACTTACAATAACAAAACCATAATGGTACACTGCATTCCTCGCAAACACCCTAATCGAGCAAGTCCAAAATTCTTCTATCCAAAAAAAAAAAAAAAAAAAAAAACTCGATAAATAAATACCTATTGAAGTTCAAGGTAATATCATTTTCACGTTGTGAAGATCATCGGTACTTTTAGACTGATTGTGCACCGACTCAAAAGCTTGCGCGCACACATTAGCAAAACCGGTCATCGCTTGAAAAACGTGCGGCAATCCCATCTGCAGATTGTTCATAGTCATAGCCCTCGTCACACTAACCGCTTTTTCGTACTTGGCCTTTTCGTCCTCCGCCTTTGCCCTCAAAGCTTCCACCTTAGCCCTTTTATCTCTAACGGGATCCTTCTTAGTTTCTCCGGAACCTTCCGGAACAAAATACGGCCCGTGCTTATTCTCCAACGACCTCAGCTCGCCCGCCTTCTTGTCAAGATCCTTAAATACCGAATCTGCCCTCCTCTTCTGCTTCTGTTCTTCCGCCTGTTGCATTACAATTGCGTGAATCACTGTCAAAAAACTCTTGATTCCTTCAGAGGCGACTTTGTCGGGTGAGTTGTTAATCGCGAGCTGCCATTCTTCGCAGAATGAGTAAATGGCGGAATCTTGTTTGGTTTTTCGGATGTTGACTGGATTGTGGTTGGTGTTGACCGACGCCACCTGGAAGAGGCTGAGGCGGAGCCAGCCCGTGAGTGACTGGATGTAGTCGCGTTGGGATTTGATGAGCGTGCAGAACGAGAGGTGCCATTGTTGTGCTTCGAGCTCGAGCTGGAGAGTTGCTTGTCGGTGGATCTCGGAAGTGGGGTCCGTTGACGGGAAGAAGTTGAGGTACTTGAGCTGTTGGACTATGTGCGTTTGGACTTGGTGGAATTCGTACATGCTTCTCCACATGCTCATTAGCCTGTCGACAAGAAAAAAATGATGCTTTAGTGGACCGAGGGTAAGTGTAAAATTGTGGCATCGCAAAATGTTCAACTTCATGCAAATAATTTATATATATATATATATATATATATATATATATATATATATATAAATAAATAAAATAAAATAAAAACTTGCCAACAAATTCAACGAAAAATGATGAATAATAGTTGTGGAGAAGGGCCATAAATTTTGTGTTCACAGGGGGCATATACAAACAAAAAAATCTCTAGGTGGACCAAAAATACTACACTAACGGAAAATAATAAATCTATATATGAAATAATGTGATTTTGAGAAGTGGTGTGGGGTGGGGGGGGGGATGGCCCCCCATAGCCCCACAATTTTAACAGATTCGAGCATAATGTTGTAGTAACAAACTTTACAATTGATCTGCACTAACAAATAAAAACGGGAACTTTTCCTTCATATTGACACATTCAACCAGTTCTTGTTTTTTAAATTTATTCTTACGGTGATTGTATGTATAAGTGGATTTTTAACATTTCATGAAAGGCGGGCCCCAACTCCGATAATTGATGCAGGCCAGATCAAGATAACCGTTTCTTATCATTCCATAATTGCTTGAGAAAAACTGTAAGCAGTTTCTTCGGCAGATATATATTTACGCACACATCGGTGAAATCATGAATGCTTTGAAATTGTAGAATATATTTACACAAACGGAAAATGGCATGCATTGATTTCCATTTCTAGTGCCAATACAGATTGGTAAACCGCAGCACGTCTATATTAATGCTACATTATCCTACTAAAAGGTTGCGTCTTTG